ACCAAGGTTTTAAAAGGGGGGTTATATTTACTTATTTTAAGAACATAAGAACATAAGAGACGCCAATGTTGGATCAGGCCAAAGGCCCATCCAGTCCAACACTCTGTGTCACACAGTGGCCAGAAATACCAGTGCCATCAGGAGGTCCAGCAGTGGGGCCAGGACATTAGAAGCCCTCCCACTGTTGACCCCCCCCCCCAAGCACCAAGAAGACAGAGCATCACTTGCCCCAGAGCCCCTAGCTATACCTTGTGGCTAATAGCCACTGATGGACCACTGCTCCATATGCTTATCTAATTCCCTTTTGAAGCCGTCCATGCTTGTAGCACCCACCACTTCCTGTGGCAGTGAATTCCATGTGTTAATCACTCTTTGGGTGAAGAAGGCACCATGCTGAGGATAAGGGGAATGTGCCCTCAGAAGGGACCTCTTCCCCAGCTGGTGAGCGGCTCTCCTTTTGCACCAAGGAACCATCCCTGAGCAGGGTGGGAGGGGGGCTCTTGGTAGTGGGTGATTCGATCCTTAGGCAGGTAGACAGCTGGGTGGCGAACCCGCGTACTGACCGTATGGTGACTTGCCTGCCTGGTGCGAAGGTAGCGGACATTACGCGTGTTTTAGATAGGCTGGTAGATAGTGCTGGGGAGGAGCCAGTGGTCGTGGTGCATGTCGGCACCAACGATGTGGGGAAATGCAGTCGTGAGGTCCTGGAGGAGAAATTTAGGCTGCTGGGCAGGAAACTTAGGTCCAGGACCTCCAAGGTAGCCTTCTCAGAAGTGTTACCTGTTCCACGCGCAGGGCCGGAGAGACAGGCAGAGATCAGGAGTCTCAATGCGTGGATGAGACGATGGTGTAGGGGGGAAGGGTTCAGGTTTGTTAGGCACTGGGATACTTTTTGGAACAAGAGGGAGCTGTACAGGCGAGACGGTCTCCACTTGTCCCGAGAAGGAACCAGGCTGCTGGCACTTAAAATCAAAAAGGTGGCAGAGCAGCTTTTAAACTGAATATTGGGGGAAAGCCGACAGGAGATGAAAAGTCTCTGGTTCGGGTTGGCTCATCTGAGAGAGGTGAGGGGGTACCGGTTGCTTTTCTACAGGGAGGTGGATTGAAATTGTCCACAGAGGCCATGGCTGGTGACATGGACTGCCGGACAACGACTCGAGATAGCAAGAGGAAGGATGCAGGCTTAACTTGTAAGGGAAATTACAGCTGTTTCTATACAAATGCTAGAAGTGTCCGAGGTAAAATCGGGGAGTTGGAGTGCTTGGTGTCGGAGGGAAAAATAGACATTGTGGGTATTTCTGAAACTTGGTGGGATGAGGAAAATCAGTGGGACACAGTGATTCCCGGTTATATATTATATCGGAAGGATAGGGGGGGAAGGGTTGGAGGTGGGGTAGCTCTGTATGTCAGAGAGGGTATAAAGTCTAGAAAGATTGAGAGGCTAAGTGAATTGGATTCGCTTCTGGAAGTTCTATGGGTTGAAATAGGGGGGCCAAAAGGAAACTTAACACTGGGAGTTTGTTATCGCCCACCAGATCAAAAGATAGAGGAGGATTATAAAATGATGAATGCCTTAAAGATAGCAACTAGACAAAAACACTGTGTAATAATAGGTGATTTTAACTACCCACACATTGATTGGGTCAATATGTGTTCTAGTCGGGAAAAAGAGATTGAGTTTCTAGACACTCTAAATGACTGTGCTATGGAGCAGATGGTCACGGAACCTACCAGGGGAGAGGCGATCCTTGATTTGGTCCTAAGTAACACTCAAGACCTGGTGAGAGATGTAAAAGTGATTGCACCGCTTGGAAACAGTGATCATAATGTTGTTGAGTTCATCATTTGTACAAATAGAGAATTGGCCAAAAAGACTCACACAACCATTTTTAACTTTAAAAGGGGTAATTTCTCTGATATGAGGGGACACGTGGGGAGGAAACTGAAAGGAAAAGTAGAAAGGGTCAAAACAATTGGGGAAGCTTGGGATCTATTTAAAACTACGATCCTAGAAGCTCAAAAAATATATATTCCGCAGGTTAGGAAAGGCACAAACAGGTATAGGAAAAAGCCTGCATGGTTAACAAACAGAGTAATGGAGGCTGTAAAAAGTAAAAAGAATTCCTTTAAGCAGTGGAAAGCTAGTCACAGTGAGGCTGATAAAACGGAACACAGGCTATGGCAAATAAAATGCAAGTCTGAGGTCAGGCAGGCAAAAAGGGAATATGAGGAGCATATAGCAAAAAACGTAAAAACCAACAATAAAACTTTCTTCAAATACATTAGAAACAGGAAACCAGCCAGGGAGGCAGTGGGGCCCTTGGACGACCAAGGGGTAAAAGGAGTATTGAAGGATGATAGGGAAATGGCTGAGAAGCTAAATGCATTTTTTGCCTCCGTCTTCACTGTGGAAGATGAGAAGTGCTTGCCCACTCCAGAACCACTGATTTCAGGAGGGGTGTTGGAAGACCTGAGTCAGATTGAGGTGATGAGAGAGGAGGTCCTAAAACTGATAGACAACTTAAAAACTGAAAAATCACCAGGCCCAGATGGCATACATCCGAGAGTTCTGAAAGAACTCAAATGTGAACTTGTAGATCTCCTGACAAAGATATGTAATCTTTCCTTAAAATCTGCCTCCATTCCTGAGGATTGGAAGGTAGCTAATGTCACTCCCATCTTTAAAAAGGGTTCCAGAGGAGATCCGGGAAATTACAGGCCAGTCAGTCTGACGTCGATACCGGGTAAATTGGTGGAAACCATTATTAAGGAAAGAATTAGTAGGCACATAGATGAACAAAACCTATTGAGGCAGACTCAGCACGGTTTCTGTAAGGGAAGATCTTGTCTCACTAACCTGTTAGTGTTCTTTGAGGGGGTGAACAAACATGTGGACAAGGGGGATCCAATAGATATTATTTACCTTGACTTCCAGAAAGCTTTTGATAAAGTTCCTCATCAAAGGCTCCTAAGTAAGCTCAAAAATCATGGGATAGAAGGACAAGTCCTTTTATGGATCAAAAACTGGCTAGTTCATAGAAAACAGAGAGTGAGTGTAGGTGGGCAATTTTCTCAGTGGAGGGTGGTAAGCAGTGGGGTACCGCAGGGATCAGTACTTGGTCCACTGCTTTTTAACTTGTTCATTAATGATTTGGAGATGGGAGTAAGCAGTGAAGTGGCTAAATTTGCGGATGATACAAAGTTGTTCAGGGTGGTGAAAACCAGTGAGGATTGTGAGGCACTCCAAGGGGATCTGTCAAGGATGGGCGAGTGGGCGTCAACATGGCAAATGGGGTTCAATGTGGCCAAGTGCAAGGTGATGCACATTGGAGCCAAAAATCCTAAATATAAATACACATTGATGGGGTCTGAACTGGCAGAGACTGAGCAAGAGAGAGATCTTGGAGTTGTAGTGGATAACTCACTGAAAATGTCGAGACAGTGTGTGACTGCAATAAAGAAGGCCAATGCTATGCTGGGGATTATTAGGAAGGGTATTGAAAACAGATCAGCCAATATAATAATGCCCCTATATAAATCAATGGTGAGACCTCATTTGGAATACTGTGTGCAGTTCTGGTCACCACATTTTTAAAAGGATATTATAGCTTTGGAAAAAGTGCAGAAAAGGGCAACTCGAATGATAAAAGGGTTGGAACACTTTCCCTATGAGGAAAGGTTAAAGTGCTTAGGGCTCTTTAGCTTGGAGAAAAGACGACTGAGGGGTGACATGATCGAGGCTTATGAGATTATGCATGGGAAAGAGCAGGTAGAGAAAGAGGTACTTTTCTCCCTTTCTCACAATACAAGAACTCGTGGGCACTCCATGAAACTGCAGAGCGGTCGGGTTAGAACGGATAAAAGGAAGTACTTCTTCACCCAAAGAGTGATTAACACATGGAATTCACTGCCACAGGAAGTGGTGGGTGCTACAAGCATGGACAGCTTCAAAAGGGAATTAGATAAGCATATGGAGCAGAGGTCCATCAGTGGCTATTAGCCACAAGGTATAGCTAGGGGCTCTGGGGCAAGTGATGCTCTGTCTTCTTGGTCCTTGGGGTGTCCTGGCCCCACTGCTGGACCTCCTGATGGCACTGGTATTTCTGGCCACTGTGTGACACAGAGTGTTGGACTGGATGGGCCTTTGGCCTGATCCAACATTGGCGTCTCTTATGTTCTTATGCCCAGAGTACTGGCCGGTCGGCAGAAGGCCCCTGCGGTCAGCCACCAACACCCCCCCCCCCGCACACACACACACCAGGGGGGGCTGGGAAGCAGGAGAGGAGGGGCTGTGCCAGAGAAAGACCTACGCAGGCTGCGCCGAGACGTGGCCACCATCAGCAGCTCCGTGGCCAGGTCAGCCAGCCGGGAATCCTTCTTGGACCCCTCCTCGTCCTCCAGGAAGGGATTGGAGGGAGCCACGGCCTCGTCTTGGGGGAGCTGATAGTCCTGGAGTCCTGCGGAGGAAGGCCCGGCATCGTCAAGGGCAGGCCCGGGCGGGCGGCCCCCCCACACCCAACCCCCCCCCCAAGGCAAGCGAGGGTTACCATGCAGCACCAGGACGCGGAAGGGGACCCGCAGGAGCTGGATGGGCGAGTTGACCCGCTGGCAGCCGATGGTCAGCTTGTAGACGTACTTCACCGCCTGGCCCCGGAAGGAGGGCGGCCCGTCCACCGGCAGCGTCTCACAGTAGGAGTCTGGGAGGAAGAGACCAGGGCACACCCCCCCCCAGGGGCTTTGAGTGGGAGGGGAGGGGCTTCTATGCTGGCGAGCCACGTGGAGCTGACCTGGGGCTGTGGAAGGGACTCCCTGCACCCACGAGGATCCAAGGAAGCCTCCAGAGGCAGGGGCACTCCACCTCTGGGCACCAGTGCTAGGAGGCAGCCCTTGGTCCCTGCGACCTCCGCGGCAGCTGCTCGGCCCTTGCGCTTCAAGCAGGAGGCGGGCCTGAACCACACAGGCCAGAAGAGAGTGCGGGCGGGACCGGGACCTTCCTTGGAGGGGAGGGTGGGACACAGACCTTTAAAGGACAACGCTCCATGGGGGAGCGGGGGTGTTGCCCCCCTGTATCACAACACACACACCCCTTTCTGACTCCCTCCCTGTGGACCCCAGTCATGCCTTATAGGCTGTTATCTATTTTATTTCTTTCGGGAAAAATTTGTCATTTGAACTCTCAATGCAGTGCGCAAAAAAAGGACACATCACCCCCCCCCATTCAAATGCCAGAGGCCATCGCAGGGAGCCGGGTACGACTCCTCAGGGAGGGGGCTCCAAGCGGAGTCTCCCAGAAGGCCTTCGCCTGCCTCGGACGCACTCTGGGGGGGGGGGGGATGAATGCTCCAGCATGCCAGGCTCTTTCGTCTTCAGCGATGGACAACTGGGAGGGGAATGGCTGCGCTTACCCCCCCACACACACACACACAGACACACACCCAGCTGTGCGGCTCCCGGGCCAGACCAGCCCAGGACTTGGTGCTCCCCCACCACCACCAGCAGGCCCCACGAAGCAGGGAAGCGGGGGGGGGGGGGACAGGTTTTGGATTCGCCGGGATCCAGCCGTAAGTCGCAGAAGAGGATCTTGGGAGGCGTCGACAGGATGCACTGGCCCCGCTCCCCTGTCAAGAGAGGCACGCCGTGGGCACCCTGCCCCAGCCCCCACCCTGGCCTGTGGGGCGCGCCAAAGACCCTCTCTCCCCCCCGGGCACCCCTGCCCCACAAGGGCTGGCCATCAACTTCCACAGCGCCAAGAAGGCCTCTCCTGGGCATGCGGGGGTGGTGGTGGTGGTGGTCAGGCCCTGTATAAGTTTTCTCCAGACACAGGGAGGGCTTGTCAGGGGAGAAACTCTACGGTGGGGGAAGCCATTTGGCCCCCTGGCCCCCGTCACCCGCCACGCTTCAGCCATGTCCGGAGCTGCGGACGGGGACATGCATGATCCTGAAGGGCGCCCCGAGGCTTCTTCTTCTTCAAGCCGCCGAAGGAGGCCGGGCCCGCCACAAGAGGGCCGCCACGTGGGCCAGACCCAGCGCAGAACCCCAGAGATAGGCACGGCCTGCTCACGCACCAGCCGAGGGTCCCGGGGGGCGTGGGGACTGCAGGTGCCTGCCCTGCAGGAGCTGGACTCGCCCGTGCCCTGCCTCCCCTCCCCCCAGGCGTGTGCGTCCACCAGGGAGCCCTGCGGAGTCTGTGCCGCTCGCCTGGCTGTGTGTCGGGTGAGGAAGCAGAGGAGGAGTGCGGGGCGCCCCGGCTTCTGGGCAAGGCTGGGCAAGTGCTGACGGGAGAACATCCCGGAGTGCACCGCCCTTTGGTGTCAAGAGAGACACGGTGGCTGTTTTGAGGACTGGAACCATGAATATTCATTCCGACGGCGGCTCAGGAGCCTCCCGGAAAGCGTCGTGCAAACAGCAGGGTGGGGGCTCCAACCGTTCCCATCCATCAGGCGCGCCGAGCCCCACCCATTCCCAGACAGCCTTTGCCCTCGTCCCGGCCGGCCGGCCCTCTCTCGCCACTCACCTCTGTTGGGGACAAAGACGGTCTCACTCTCGGCCTGCACGTCCTGCCGGCTGGTGTCTGGGGGGGGCAGGGCCACGCGGCTCTCGCTGGCGTGGAACTGGCAGTGGATCTGCGCGCTGGCCCAGGCCAGCATCTCACTGTGGGGTGGGGTGGGGGCACAGAAAGCAGAGCAGGTGGGTGAAAAAAAAGGCCCGGGCAGGAGGGGAACAAAACCACACAGGCACTGGAGTGGGAATTAAAAGAAACAAAATAAATAACCAAAATCACCCCCCCCCCCCCCCCCCCCCCCCCCCCGCCACAACAATTCCAAATGACGGAGAGCTGCGCCTCCCGCCTTGCCCTTCAAAGGCTGCCCACTCTGCCCTCTGGGTGGCACAGACCCAGACGGTCCTCCGGGCTCTCGCCTGTGGTTCATCCAGCCCAGCCCAGCCCAGCCCAGCCCAGCTCCCCCCCCCCGGCAGCCCTGGGGCTGGGGTCTCTCTGTTCTCGGAATGCCCCGGAAGCAAATAAGATGAATCTCAGTGGGGATGAATGTAAAGTTCTGCATTTAGGTAGGAAGAATCAAATGCATAGTTATTGGTGGGGGGAGACTTGTCTTGGGAGGGGTCTTCGCAGACCCTACACCAAACACGAGTCAACAGTGTGATGCGGTTGCTAAAAAGGCAAATGCTATTTTGGGCTGTATCCACAGAAGCGTAGGGTCCAGATCACGCAAAGTGAGGGTACCGCTTTTACTCTGCCCTGGCTAGGCCTCAGCTGGAGTCCTGTGTTCAGTTTGGGCCACCACAACTTAAGAAGGATACAGACAAGCTGGAGGGACCTGTGTCCAGAGGAGGGCCACGGAGAGGGCGAGGGGTCTGGAGACCCAGTCCTGCGAGGAAAGGTTGAAGGAGCCAGCCGGGTACGTCCAGCCTGGAGAGGAGGCGACCGAGAGGGGATAGGCTGGCCCTCTTCAACTATTTGAAGGGCTGGGGTCACAGAGAGTTAGACTCGACTGTGTGACTGAACAGCAACAACGGGTTGAAATTAAATTGGAAGAGTTTTTGGCTAAACATGAGGAAGGATCCTCAGTGGAACAGGCTTCCTTGGGAGGTGGTGGGCTCTCCTCCTTTGGAGGTTTTCAAACTGTGGCTAGATGGCCCCATTGGACAGCAATGTCGATTCTGTGAATTTAGGCAGATCACGAGAGGGAGGGCAGGAAGTGTTGCCTGCCTCAGTGCTTAGTTCTCGTCGCCTTTTCTTACACGCCCAGGGAAATGCTGATCGCCACTTTGGGGTCAGGAAGCAATTTTTCTCCAGGCCAGTTTGGCTGGCGATCCTGGAGGATTTTTGGTCATCTTCTGGGCGTGGAACAGCGGTCACTGGGGGTGTGGAGGGGGGGATTTGTGAGTTTCCTGCATTGTGCAGGGGGGTTGGACTAGATGACCCTGGCGGTCCCTTCCAGCTCTATCATTCTATGATTCTGTTTCCATGCCAGGCAGGCAGCTGGCAAGAGGCACGCTGCCTACGGAGGAGTGCCACAAACCCCAAGGCCTGGGCAGACACACACAAGAAAGCAGACTGCTGCTTATTTTAAAAAGGCTTCTAAGGCTTACTGAGGGTTCAATTAATTTTAAAAGTTTATTAAATAGCCAGTATGCTACTCTAAAACCCTACAGCAAGAAAATGAGAAAGACTCGCTCAACTGTCTAACCCGTTCAGAGCATGCGTCAGACGGCACAACCCTGGCGTTCCAAAGTCACAGGCCAAAGCTCAGAAATTCCCCACGCTGCTCCCAGCTGCAATGCCAGCAGAACAGAGCTTGGGCCTTCTGTCCATCCGGGTTCCGGCTAGTCCAACCTTCCTTCGGGCCTTAGCCGAAGTACATATTTTGGCCTAACAGCCTCGGGGGTAAGGGTGACACCCAGTCAGGGCGCCCCCCCCCCAAAGCAGCCTCTAGGAAATGACCTCATCGCCCCCAGCTCTCCTCCTTCATCCTGCAGGCAGGGCAGCAGTTCTCCGGAGAAGCTCCGGCCTGGAAAATTAGAAGAAACTGTATGGCCTGAGAGACCGGCCAGGAGCACCCGCAGGGTGAACCAGGCCCCTTCCGAGTCTCACGCTGGCCCTCGAGAGGAGGGGGAGGAGGAGGAGGCGGGGGGGGGGAGCTGTGCCTCACAACAAGGAGTCCTTCAGCACCAGCTGGTGCACAGGCACCCTGGCTCTGTGTGGGGGGGACGACGACACACGAAGGCCGCTGCAAGACAAAGCGCATCATGCATTGGCTGAGCAGAGGGAGAGTCTCCTTCTGTAGGAGAGGCATGCCCGGGCCACCCGGTGTTTGGCCAGAGATCCGGCAGCCAAAGGGGGGGGG